GAAGAAATTGGAATAAGTAATAAATCATGGGATAGAAAATATCCACTTATTTTAGACTTAGATACTTGAGTCTAATTCTAAATTATGATTTAGAATGGTTCAGCAAATATACATGGTTAGAACCTGAAGAAAATAATCAAGAAATATTAATTTTTTGCAACTTTGTAGAAATAGAAATGGAACATCAAAATTTTCAAAGGGTACAAATGTTTTTAGACTAGATAAAATCAAAAAACATTCAAACACCAACAAACATAAAGAATCAGAATTAACATTACTTAAGTCATATCAAACTGAATCTAATAGAGATAATACAGAACAATCAGATTAAAAAAAATCAATTATTCATTAATTATGAATAATTATTTTTGTTCAAAACATAATATTCCATTAAATTTTTATTCTAATTTGTGCAATTTAGTGACTTTACAAACTGGAAATAACATTAGTTATAAAATTTCTACTCTAAAGCCAGCTTCCTTAGAAAAACCATCAAAGCCTAAATCAAAATATGGAAGCTATAAAAGTCCTGCATGTGATTTTTTAGATATGTAGTTATGAATCTTAATTTTGTAATAAAATTTAATTATTTCTGTATTTATTATTATTATTGTATATACTATTCAAAACTCTCTGTTAGGCTATTCTTTGAATCACAGAGAAAAAACTATGGAAATTTTTTTACTCTAACTTGTTTGGTTATTGAACCTATACATTTCAAAGTTTAACAGTATTTTTTAACATTTTGGATGATTTTACTAATAAAATTAAAAAAAACTCTCTGTCATCATGTGAACCATTATATTTGTTATAATATCACTTAATTTTATAGTTGCATCTTTTTTTTTTGAATGAGAAGATGCAATTTTTATTTTTATAATTGTTGAAAAAAAGTTTATTAGTAAATTTTATATATGATGTTAATTAGTTTTGATCTACATAGTCTATCGTACAACCCAACATTAACATTATTATTTATTATTTTGTTTAAGGGTAGGATCCCGCAAATTTCATAGGTTACTGCTGCGAAAATGTTGATTAGGTTTAATAGGGGGGCCAAATCTATTATATAGTAGTCAACGGTGATTTATTAGAGAACCAAAAATTTCGTGCAACAATTTCTTTCTTACTAATACGTTCAAAAAAAATCGATACTTTATATATAGTAATAGTAAATCTTCTATGTTAAATATTATAAATTATAAAAATCAGTGAATTATTATAATCAGTTGATAAGTTAAATAATTGATTGGTAAAATTTAATTTCGTTACAGTAGACAGTTTCAAAATTTTTAATGTTATATATATTATGGTCAAATTATGTTCTTTTTTCTAATGTTATTGCAAACCTTAATTAATTAATTTTGGTCTGGATCAAATTTATATAACAAGCAGGAATTTTTATTACTGATCTATCTATGAAGTTTTCTGGGTCCTGATAGAATTGTAGTTACTGCATTAGAACGTCTCAAGAAAAAAAGCCATTATTATACCAATCACTTTTACGTTGAATCAGGTAAATTAATGTTTTTGTAGATCACGAAAAGAAATCTGCTGTTGATAATCACGTAGAGGTAGCAAAATATAAAGATGTTGAACGAAAATATAAAAATACTCTACAACTTTTACAGAGATATTTGATTTCTTTGTTACTAATGATTGTGAAAAATAACATTGCATTTACAAAGGTTGACACCCCTCTAGAGAAAATTGATAAATTAAAGCCTTTTTTGTAAAAATTCCAAGTGATTAAAGTGTTCAATATAAATTCTTATTTATTTTTATTATATCTTGGGAGGTTCCATTGTAAGTTCAAATAAACTAAGGGAAAATATTTATCAATGAGTTATGAATTTGAAGTAGGAAAATTAAAAAATTTGATAAAGGATAAAACAATTAGCCTAACTGTTGACGAAATTACTAATAGAAAAAGTTGAAAAATGGTTAACATACCATTTTAGCTATGATATATATACTAGCTTTAACTGAATATTTAGAAAAAGTTGATATTTCAAATAGTTGAGAGTGTTTTGAATTTCTATATATCATATAACGATATAATTTTTTCATTCCAACAATGCAAGCGATATGAAATTAGCATATTAATGTTCTTTTTTATCGCCATCATTTCTACCAAATATGATTCAAACAAATTGTATAATTTTGTATTTTTCTTTTGGTTAAAAAAAAAGCAGAATTTGCAAAAACAAAAAACATAATCCTGGCCGGAAACTTCATTTATAGCTATCCGTAACAAACTCAATATATAGAGAGAACGGCTGAATAATAATAATAATAATAATTGGGGAGAATTGTTGTTGATCTAATATTACTGCGTGTATCAGGAGGGAAAAACGAGCGTTACATACAACCGCGATTCTTTAAATATGTTGTGCGTGAAATTTACCAATTAAATTTTGGGGTGAGTGTTTGAATACAAAATTCTGATTGGCTAATTTGAATTTCACGCGCGTGAATTTGAAATTTGGATGTCATAATATGCACATTAACTTTTAATTTATTTTCAAATCAATGTTTTATGGCATTAACAAGTTGAAGTGATGTACTTGTCAATATATTATTTAAAAATTTTAAAATTTATAATTTAAATATACCTACCTATATTATTAAATAAAAAGCCCATATTTAACTTACTTGTTGAACCATTATCAGTCAACTTCCAGAAGAGATTCCCCATCCTCCAGATTTGGTTGTCCTAATGATTCTTTCCTCCAAAAATACATAACAAAGATACAAACTATGTGGTATACTGATTTGGAAGCCTTGATGTTTTCCCCAATGGAAAGGGCACTATGAGTGCATTAAAAAATAACACCTTCAATAAATAGCTAGGTCATGCTTGTATTGGTACTAGCCACATTGATGTTTTGAGAAAAGAAGAAAATTTCAAAATTAGAACCAGATACTGGCCACCAAAAATGTAACTGTGAGAAACATCTGTCAAAAATCACAACCTTGCCATTACATTTCTCCCCCTTTTTAAAAAGAAATAAGTGTGTAGAGGCTTCCTCAGATTTTCTACACTTTGATGATGGCCAAAGACAAAAGGACCCACTTGCATAAAATGGCAACACCATGCCAAGCAATCACCCATTGCACATTTACCTGCACTATCACAATATGCCAGAACAAGTTGTGGAAGGACCCTGGGATGTTGAATTAGGGCATTTCTTCAAACATGACAAATTTCAAAACCATGGGATGATCCACATGCACAGCCTTACCTACATGAAAAAAACATATCTTTTAATGCAAACCAGCAGACATTCCATCATGGAAAAAACATTGTATAATTTGGTCATTGTAACCATCAAATGGAGAACCATGTTCCCTCAGCTGATATGGAATGACCGTATAAATTTTCAACATGTGATGTCCACAGGATTTGTGAAATAATCACAAATCTGACAAATATTGAAAACATATCATAATGAGGAGGCTAAGTGCAATTGAATTGATGATACTTTTGTTCCAATACCTAGTAACCCCAGATATTCCACTACTTCTCTTCTGCACCCTCTGAGTACCAACTAAGATCTGTGAAACTGATGCACTTGTTAAACAAGAAAATTGACATTGAAAGTGGTGAGAGGAGTGGTGAGGGCAAGTAATCCTTGCTGTAATGAGTTAGATCTATCATTAAGATTTTGAGCATCTTGAGCTTCTGATGAGGTTTCATTTAAAGAAATACTTTCAAGCAATACTCCTTTTTTTAGTTCCTCTTCATAAATTTTTTATTTTTTTAGCATGAGTTGAAAATATACATGCAGCCCAAAGTATTTTGACACTGTCATAAAGTGGTTACACACCACACCCCATTTAGTAAATTTTTTAAAAGATGACTTGCTGAATATTGAAACATCCTGGTTAGTAAAATGTTTATTTGTAACAAAAGTTTAAGTTGATTCTGATTTGATGAATATATTGAATAATGATAGGTTCAATGTTGAGAGTACTGCAACCAAAAATAGAAATAATTTGCTTGGTCCAAGAAGATGTCCAGATTATACATGCAGCCCAAAGTATTTTGACACTGTCATAAAGTGGTTACACATGTAGTAAAGGGGTGTTACACTTATGTTTTTAATAGTGAATGCCATAATTAAATTTCTACTTTCTACCATCAAAATCACCAAACCAATTTGGGCTGCATGTATATTCCAGATGTTCTTTGGGTACTAGAAAGTGGCATTGAAGAATTAAATTTTGAAACACTATATATCGAATTTCCAATGGGCCTTTTAATATAAACCATAAACATATCAGAGAAGATAAATTACGATTAGGAAAACATTGTAAAGATTTGTTTAATTATATTTATAATAAATCATATTCTATAAAAAATATAATATAATAAGTATCATTGATGTGTAACTTTATTTTCATTACATTTGCATGGTGAGTATAGTTTAATTCATTCATTGATAAAAAGTCTTAATTCTATATATCAAATTATAAGTTCTTTTTTTAAAAAATAGGCCTGTTGTTAGATGTAGAAGGGAATTATCCTCCACTTTTTGGAATGAGAAAAATTATGGAAATTGGACTGCCATTAATAAAGGATGAAATTGATGTTAAAGATTTTATTTATTTTTTTGAACAACTTAATTCATTAAAAGATCTGATCAAAAAAAATAAAAGAAGAATCTTAGGATACTAGGAGCTTTTATATCATCAGATCAAACTAGTCAAGCAGAAGATAATGACAATGATACCAATGATGACATTATATCATTTAATCCAAAAAATAATCAAGTAGAGGATTATAGTGATGATAATGATAACATTAATGATGAAAGAAGAATATCTTTAATATGAAAACTCACAATACTCCTCAAAAACAAAAATTGACTAAAAAATAGCTGTTGTTTTTAAGATAATAATTGTCAAAATGTTAAGAATTTGTGTATGTTAGGAAATAAATAAAATTTATTATCTGATATTTACTATCAGTTAAAGATCATTTTAATTCCTTTCACTTTGTCTGGTTTTGTTGCAAGCATGCCCCAATTATGATCACATTACAAATGACTAAACTTTGATCCCCGAAATTCTTGGTGATACTAATGTTCACTTTGTCTGGTTTTGTTGCAGTATGCCCCATATTATATCTAAAGGTGAATATATTGTATTTTACACGTTTGAAATGGGTGTCAAAGAGGGACTTTCAATTGTCCCAATTCAAATTCAATAACGTCTTCAGCAATAACACCCACAACTTCATCATAAAACTCACATCATCATGTAACTCAATCATCAGAGAGACACATTGGAAAACCCGTAACCAATACCAATACTAATACCAATTGGAATTATAACCAATAAATTAAAAAGTACAACATTATTAAATCAATAATATGAAAAACAATAAGGACAACAACAAATATTTCAGAACAATTGGGATACTCCATCAACTCGGTAATATCAAGGTAATACAATTCAAGGGTCCTATCCATGTTCAACACGGTCTAATTTGTTAAATGTCCATGTGCACTCGAACCAAAATAGAATTATTTTATACAACATGTATATGATTATCTGAATAATAAAAAATAAAAATAAAAAATAAAAAAATGGGCGTCAAAGATTTAACAAACTTTCTAAAAAAGAATGCTCCAGATTCTATATGTAACAAATCAATTTTAGAATATAAAGATCAAGTATTGGCATTAGATGCCAGTATGTTTCTGAAAAGATTTGTGCATGGTTATCGTAAAATATTTGATTCTAACAGTATTTATTTTGCAACTACAGAACAGGACTATCAACCTATAACAGTACATCCGCATCCTCATATACTTGGTTTTTATAACCTTACAATATTTTTAAAACAACATAATATCAAACCTATATTTGTATTTGATGGAAAATTTAGAATCAAAGAAAAAAGAAGAGAAATCATGAGACGTAGGGAAGTTTACAACAAGGCAATTGATAATCTTAAATTTGAAAAAATAAGAGTAAACCGATTGGCAAAATGGAAAGATGTTCATGAAAAGATGAAGAATTTAAACGATGTTAATTCGGAATATATAAATACTGGAGTCAAAAATGCTTTTGAACAATTATTTATTAAACCAACAACAACTACCACAACCACAACAACCACAACAACAACCACTACCACAACCACAACAACCACAACAAAAGCCATTGCTCCTTCTCCCAAAGAGAGACATGCAGTAGATTCTGCTAGTGATATTGATATAATATCAACAAAACAAATTGATTATCATCAAGCACCACCACCACCACATCAAGATATTATCAAACCTACTATACCACCTCAAGAAAAAGAAAAAGAAGATGACAAAACAAAACTTGATAAGATACTTGATGAGATGTTTAATGGATATGAATCGGCTGATATTCAATCATCATTATCAGCTCCAACCATTGAAGAAATAAGTAAACCTACCAAGAAATCTGTTGAACTTGAATCAGATCAGATTGTTTTGCAAACCGAGACAATCAAATCCGATGAAATAAAACCCGTCGAGTTAAAATCAGATCAAGAGATTCATGCATCCCCTTTACAGGATGATATTCCCATTCCACCTTTACCAACCTCACAATCAGATCTAGCTAAACCGTCACCAATAAAAACAACAGCAGAATTATTATCGTCGCCATCACCAGCATCACTAATAGAATCTCCATTGTTAGAAACACCACCATCATCACTAGAACTATCACCACCAACATTAGAGGCACCGTCGCCATATTTAGATCCAATAATAACACCAACAATAAATACTAATATTTTAGAAATGATGTCGAAAATAGATAATGAGAAAACTTTTAAAGAACGACATCCAGATTTTGTGCCTTCATCTGGTGAAATCCTTTTGAAGGAGAATGTGGAAGAAATAGTGAAATCAACATTACTGGATAGTGCACTATTAACAAATGATGAAAGGCTTTATTCTAGACCTCAACAGATCATAGGACAAATGGAACAAAAATTATTGGATAGTTTTCTTACTGATGATAAAAAAATTAAAGACAATGTTGATGATGATGATAACAATAATGGTAACAAATTATCATTTATAGACGAAGTGGAAAACGTACATGCTGAAAGTCATAACATGGCGGTGACACTTGAAAATCGAGCAATGTATGTTTCATGGGAAATGTATGAAGATTGTATTGAATTTCTAGAGACATGGGGATTTCCTTGTATAGTGACTAATGACTGTGAAGCAGAGTCATTATGTGCTTCATTAGCGGCATCGGGATATGCGAATGCAACGGTATCTGAAGATATGGATACAACATTGTATGGTGATGGAATCTTGCTAAGAAATCTTTTTAGCAAGTCAAAACCTATTATTGAAATTTCTCCAAAAAAAGCAAGAGAATCATTAGGACTTTCGCAAAGTCAATTTATAGATCTTTGCATTCTATGTGGCACTGATTTTTCTAACACCATACCTGGTATAGGTCCTGTAAGAGCATTTGATTTGATTAAAGCATATGGATCCATTGAAAACATTTTAAAAAATCTAATTGAATCACAGGGTGCACTCGAAGTCACCATATCAACTTCAAAATGGGAAACTTTGTCGACCAAGAAATCAAAATCCAATAATGCTAAAAAAAAAAAGAAAACATCATCATCATCATCATCATCATCATCATCATCATCACCATCACCATCACCATCACCAACACCAACAACATCATCAACAACAAAAATGACAACATCACCATCGAATAAAATTAAAACAACTAAAACTATAACCAAAAAAATTTCTATAACAAAATTAACAAGAGAATTTTTATCTACATCATCCTTAACATCTGATTTTTTGGAGCAGGCCCAAGCTGCAAGACATGTGTTTCAGAAACCACCTATTATTACAGATAAATATCTAAATAAATTGAAATTATTAGATAATTATGAGAATGCATTTAATAATATGGAAAATAATGAAAATTTCAATCAATTATTGGTCAAGTATCAAGTTTATCTAGCAGAAGAATCTACAATAGGTTATAATACACTCTATACTGATTACTTCAATCAATTTGGTGGTGATGGCACATATAACAATGACGGTTATAAAGAGTTTAGTTTGGAAAAAGATAGTATCACGATTCCAACAGTAAGTCAATTAGGACCTGATCCATTTTATACTTTAAATCCATTGATTATACCTGTGTTGACTATGGTATGTATTTTCATTTTTTTCTAAAATTTTTGATTGATTTGTATTTTACACATTAATAGTAATTAATTTTCTTTAAAAAAATTTTTAAGACAAACATGATGATGGAAATATCACTTGCAAATCCTGAAGCAACTTCATCTGAAATTATGGGTAATTTAAAAAAATTAAATATAATTTAATTATTATATATGGTTCTTTTTTTAATTGTTTTAAAATAATAATAATAATAATAAATTAAACCATTTTAATTTTTTTTTAATTATTTATTGTTTTTTTTCAAAAAAAGTAAAAAAGTAAAAAAGTAAAAGCAAAAAAAGTTTGTCTTAGTAAAAAAATTAATTAAGACTATTATTTAAAAAAAATAAATGTTACAAATATCGGTTAATTAATCGATTATTCAAGAATAGTTATTAAAAACTAAAAGATTTTTAGTGTTGGCAGGAACCTTTCTCAACACGTTTTTCGTTGACAATTTAATAATGTCATCCTTAATCTTATTTGGTGAGAGAGATTGAGTATAAAATTCAGATTGGCAGTCTGGTTCAAGACCCATGAAGTATGCAATTAACCCAGCCACATGGGGCGAGGCCATTGAAGTACCCGAGATTGTGTTTGTAGCTGTTCTTGAACCAATCCAGGCTGATGTGATATCTTTGCCCTATATATACATATATATATATATATATATATATATGATAAAGAATAACAGAATAATAAATGGTGGTTAATTTGATTAAATTTATTCACAATATATAATATAAATGTATAATAAATATAATAAATATTATCTTTGAAACTTACGGGAGCGAACACATCGACACATGTGCCATAATTTGAGAACCATGCACGCTCATCTTCAATTGTTGAAGCGGCAACAGTGATTGCTTTTTCTGAGGCAGCAGGTGAGGCATTACAAGCGTCACCGTTATCATTACCGGCAGCCACGGCAAAAATAAGACCATGATCTACAGCCTGTTTATTATTTATTATTTTGGTTAGATTCATTCAAAAAAGAAAAGTAAAATAAAATCAATCAACTTACGGAATCGACAACATTATCCAAAGTTCTACTTCTACCACCACCTAAGCTCATATTAGCTCCTGCGCCTTTGTAAGGAACTCCTCTTTTACGAGCTTTTTCACGTTCAGCAAGATGGAACTCTACAGCATATTCTACGCCTTTAATAACATCGGACATTGTGCCTGAACCATTTGAACGCAAAACTTTAATTGCGACCACCTTTGCCTTCTTCGAGACACCATATCGTTTACCAGCAACTGTACCGGCCACATGTGTACCTTTTAAAGATAAAATAATAAATGAATACATTGAAAAAAAATTATATATATATTTTTTTTTTATATATCTAGATTTATGATTATAAATATAACATGTAATACATACCGTGACCGTTTCCGTCAATGTCTTGGTCGTTGTCGGGAACAGTGACACCCCATACAGCTCTACCTTCGAAATCAACATGATAAATGTTGATTCCAGTGTCAATAATGTAAACAGTTGTACCTTCACCGGCACTTTCATCGTAGATATATTTGTTAAAGCTACTGAAGGTTAATCCTGAGCGGTGTGATATACGAGCTAAACCCCATGGAGCATTTCTTTGAAGTTCATTAGCGTATACAACTTGATCTTTCTCAACGTATGCAACCTGATTTTATTTTGATCATCATTTAATTATGCGCATGATATATATTAATATATATATATATATATATATAATAATAAATTTTTTTGTAAAGGAAAAAAAAAAAAAAGTATTTATTTACCTCTTTGCTCTGTCTAATTATATTGAGGACTTCGTTACTGAATCTACCAGAGTAGCCTTTAAAGCCATCCAAGTAATAGACATGACGAACTCCCGAGACAAATTCATCCGAAAGACCTCTTTTTGTTATGTTTTGTTGTTCGTCAGTGATGGCAGAATGCACGCAGTTGTGATGATAGTCAACTGTGTTTTTATCAAGCTTATCTTTAAGAACTACAATGTATTGATCAGGTATAACCTGAGCATTCACAGAAGACAATAATGGTACAATTGCGGTCTCTTCATTATTATAAGGTATTGCAAGATTTTGTATGGGAAATGATGCCAAAAAAAAAATTACGGTAGTGATAAGATTTTTTGTCAACATTTCAATAATAAAAACGTTAAAAAAATATTATATATATGAAAAGGTAAAAAAATTATATACAAAGTATATAAATTCAAAAAAAGAACAGAGAGAGGAGTAGAAAATTATTATTCACCTTTAAAGGGTGAAAAGAAGAAAGAATATTTGGCGTAAAAAATCAAGGTACGACAAACATTTAGCCAAAAATAATAGATTTCAAAAGTACCATTAATAATATAAAGAAAGATCTGTTGATTTACTTTGATTTACTTGTTGTTATTATTAGGGATAAAAAATTCAGTTACGCCAACACCAAAATTGATCAAATTCAACTCGAAAATTCAGGGTTTAATTTTGTCACTGACTTTAATAAAATTTCCAAAATTGTATAAAAGTAAATGAAATGAATAAATGAAAACATCTTATGTTTACTTCCACTACTACGGATCATCTATTTTTTATTAATAATATCATTTTGATCGACCATTAATTCGGTTGATTTCGGGGCCCAGCGAGAAATTGTTATTATTTTGAATCAAATATTATATAAATAAAAACCAATTTGACAAACATATATACAAGGATATATAATAAATTTATCTTTAATATTTTATTAGATATTTTTTGTTTCATACAATCTAGTGATAAAATGACTACATTCGACCACTAACCAATCGATTCATTCCAAATAAATTATAATATTGATGATAAAAAATCCAAGTTTTGAATAGCTATTTATAAACATTAATCAATATTAGTCCGTTTTTTTAAAAAAAAAAATAAATAAAAATAATAAATAATAATAAATCTTTTTTATTTATCTAAAATTAATAAAAAAAAACAATTAAATTTTTTATGCAATATATTGAGAATATTATTATATCACCAAATAAAGAAGACTAGCCTTGTGAATTATTATTATTATTTATTGAAATATATATATAACTATTTTAATGATGACATTTATTAATCAGGATGTGTTATCTAGCTTCAATTTTTGCTTTATGTCTAAACTTAAATTGTTAAAGAAATTTTTAGTTTTTTTCCTCTTTGATTTTATAACAAAATATAACAGAATTATAATATAATATATATAACTGAAAAGAAAAAATTTATACGATTATTGTCGATCCAGAGTGAAAGAGAGATATCAAACAACGATCAATTAATATATATATATATATATCTTCTTATTCACTTTGTTTCTTCTTAGATATGCTTTAGTTGCTAAAGAAAATTTCAAGTTTTTAAATATCCCAATAATGATTCGCCTCTAAATAATTTTTGTAATTTATAAGTTTGGAGTTAAAGAAAAATAAAACTTTTATGTAAGTAGTGTGCGCAATTGCGCACCGTTTTTACACAAATATATATTGTTTCACTTTGTTAGAAAATAAAATTAATTTTACTATTTAAATATATATATATTATAAAATTTTATTTAAAAAAAAAAATAAAAAAAGAAATTTTAAATAAAACTTCACCGATATTTACTAACCTCATTTTCATAAGAAGTCTGGTGGTGGAACTGCATGATAAGATGTAGGTTGTTTTTTATCTTCATATGAAGATGATGATGTAGATGCAGCAGAACTTGTTGCGTTAGCATTGTAAGCTGATGATGATGAAGTATTTGCTGTACCAATGGCAGTGGTGGCAGTAGCAGTTGAATAAGGTGATGTAGTTGCCGCAGAGCTTACAGTTGTTGGTGATGTAGTTGCGGTGGCTGCTGCTGTTGTTGCTGTTGTTGCTGCTGTTGCTGTTGTTTGTGTAGGATATGCTGCAGTATTGGCTTGATATCCTGTAGCAGCAGCAGTAGTAGTAGCTGGATATCCTGAATATCCATAATAATAATTAGAATAGTCGGTTGCTTGTGTTGAATTGGTTTGTGAATAATAATTGTATTGAGGATATTGATAGTATCTGGACTGATTGTATGGATTATAAGGATTATACGCGGTGGCATTTGCATTAGCACTTTGAGCATTCGCTGCTGGGTATTGACCATAAGCATTTGATGTAGTTGAATATAAATTCGATGAATTATTACTATTATATGCAATATTATTATTATTAGTAGCAGTAGTAGCAGCAGAAGGTTTTGTTGAAGAATTTGGTTGAGGTGGTGTAGAAGATATTTGTGATGAAGGAGTCGCAGGTGGATAAGATGGAAGAGGCGGTTGAGATGCAGCAGTGGAAGTTGGTGAAGCTAAGGAAGAAGCAGCTGATGACGAAGATGGTGGAAGCGAAGGAGGTGGTGGTGGTGTTGGTGGTGGTGGTGGTGGGTTGCTACTTGGTAAAGGTGGTGGTGGCGGTGGAGCTGGCCCACTTGGTAGTGGTGGGTTAGCTGGTGGTGGTGGATAGCCCTATAATTCATTATCATTACCGTTATCATTACTATTGTTGTGATAAATATATATACATATATATAAAATAAAACTTGACAAATACCCCTGGTAAAGTTGGTGGTAGGCCATAAGCTGGAGGACGAGGATACGGTGATCTTCCATAAGTAGGGTATGTAGCTTGTTGTGCTTTATGTTTATCCCATTCTGACTTTACTGTACTAATAAGATCTTCACATAATTTTTTTGCCTTCTCAAGTCCTTCCTGACTCCAGCATCTAAATAAAATAGACAATATAGATTTACATTAAGTTACGTAAATAATTAAACGAGAAATAAAATATAATATAATGAAACTCACGTGATATGAATATGAAGTGGTTCAAAAGCTTCTGTTCCCGATGTAGGCTCAACATAACCAGAACCTCGACCTTTCAATTGTACTTTTGCACTAGTTTCTGCTTGAATGTGTTTAACGTAAGCTCCTTGTGGTCCAACGATTTTTGCTCTCGCATTAAATGTGCGGTCAGGTTCTATTCCCACAAATACTTTATCTTGAACAAATTGCCGCTAAATTATATTAAATATAAAATAAAATAAATGAAACTTATTTATTTGAAAAAGTATAATCGTTATTAAAATAATAAAAAAATATACCCCCGCTATGTGAGAAGCTGATGGACGTGGAGTTGAAGTTTGTGGAGCAGGAGCAAAATATTGTTCCATCAATTCATCAATTTTCTTAACTGCAGCGTCTAATGATTCTTTACTGGGTGCTGTCACATGCAAATAAAGCGGAGGATCTTTATCAGTTACAAGACTTTTTTCAGGATAATATTTTCCTCTTGTTGTCACGTCTGGACACATATGTAAAGTTATTATTGTTAATAATAATATATCTTCATTTCCAAATATAAAATTAACGAATAAAATAAACCAATAAAGTATCAACCTGCTCCAGTTTCTTTTTGAATCTACCATGTTTAGAAAATCAATTATGATGACGATGATTAGAAAACAAATTAAACAAACCAAGATAATTCGTGACATATTACCATTTGTTGGGTAGCTCCTTTTGTTAAAAGGTATCTATTTTTACAATCATTAATTGTAATATCTTGTGTAAACTCCATGTCAGACTCTTTAATTGTAGACTTTAAGTGTTTTGGTTCCTTTTTTATTACAATTTATTTATGAAGAAAATAAAATAAAATAAATAAAATGTATCAACAAGATTCATCTTTTTAATTTTTACAAGTGGCATCAAAATATAAAATCATATTAATAATTACCTCGGATGCACCATTTTCTGAGGTCTCTGCTCTTGCTGATGCAACAGCCACAGGTTTATTAGGAACTTGAATACCTTTAGCAGCGAGCATCGCATTAATTTTTGCAACAGCTACAGCTAAACAAGTTTTATTTGATTAGGGAGGGGAAGGAAAATTAATACAAAAGGTGTGTCAATGTGTAAATAATAATAATAAAAATTTTGTCTTTGATGACTAACCAGCAGCAATATTTGGATCAACGCTTTCAGAAGTATTAGAATGAGTCGGCGATGGTGCAGTAGAGCCAGAAGCGTCACTACTAGTTTCAATTTTGATTGATTTAGGTGTGGGTGCACTAGTAGTAGTAGAAGAAGAGGGTGGCGCTTCTTTTCCTTGATCATCAAGATCCCACTTACGTTTACGTCTATGGGTTTGTTATTTATTTACATGGATGGATAAATGTAAATGTAAACGAATGGCATTTTAACAAATACTCAAATTTATTATGAACAAAAGTAATCAATCCTTTACTAACGTTTTATTTTGCGTTGACATTTTCTTTTTTAAAAATTAAAAAAAATTTTTTTTTTAAATATATATACAAGAATAAAAAAAAAAAGTTAAATTGAAAATTTTCATGCGTATACCATAGATGGAAATTAATCTAGAATAATCTGCAATCACACCTTATTAAAACCTAATTATAAAAAATCTAGTTTTTTAAGGTTACCAATAGATGACCATCAAGCTTAATTGTATATTTTTATTTTTTAAATAACAACTTGCCACCAAACGTGAGAGTTAAAAAGAATAATTCAATGATTGTTGCTCAAGGTGCAATACACACAATTCGTTATTTTTTACCATTTATCTATTATGTTACAATGGCCCAAAAATGATTATATATTCCTCAGAATAACCAATTCAAAATAATTACACCAAAAGATTTATTTAGAAATCAATGAAGCCAAACTTTTGATTTTAAAACAATTTTTCTTTCATTGGTCAAAACTGTTTTTACGTGATATTTTCTCTCACTCGTGTACATTACAGTTTAGGAACCCGCATTAAAAATTCAATCGGCACGCAGTATGTCACATAAAATATGTGTTGATCACTCTATTTTTAATATACGCGCCGATTGAATTTGGTTTTTATTGACACGAACATTACATACAATTCCTTTTTCTGATCGAGAGTAATATCCACATGATCTGCAGCACAAGATGGGATTTCCAAATCACTAGTACAGTCATAAGTGAATATGTAGGAATGTTAATTAAAATTATTGAGATATTGGGTGCTTTCAAAAATTATTATATTGAGATTGAGATTGAATATTTGATTGGATTGAAATTGAAATTTTCAATCAAGATGATCGACAATTATTAATTAAAAATGGAATTTTTACGTCTCTTTTCTCTTTTATTAATCATCAAAGAAATGAATCGGACCTTGAACTTACAAATACTAATGCTAATGATTTAGTATTGATGTCTTTGTTTTTTGGGTACTTCAATATTTTCCATTTTTTTTTTTAAAAAAAATTTTATTTATTTTTATTTTTTTTTTATTTATTTTGTTTGTTTATTTTTTCAATCTTACTAGATTGAAATTTCATATTAAAATTCGATCTCAATCTCAATCTCAGATAGAAATCAATCTCAATATGGAAATTTTTGAACGCAGATCGAAATCAATCTCAATCTCAATCTGATAATTTTTGAAGGCGCCCATTATTATTTTAGTATTTGTTTGCTAACCGTGCCGATATAAGATTTATATTAATATATACAAATTTAATACAGTAATAAAGAAACGTTTAATTCGTGATCCACCAGGAATTAATTAATGCAAATTTTATGCATTTATTATGTTATGGTGCGCCGCATCTAAAGACATCAAATGCTGCGCCATTTACCGAAAATTTTAATGGTGATCCTTCCTGATTAAGAAATCATCCAGATAAAAAAATATTTAACTTTTATCCGAAGTATCATTGTGAATTATATAAAAAGTTTTTTGGGAAGTAACTAAAGAATACACTAGAAAGAATTGTAATTATTTATTTAAAGAATTAGAAAGAACTGTTCCTCTGGCATTGAACTCGGTTTCACTTTGTAAAATTGGAAAATTTGCTAGAAGATGTTATAGATTTATGAGTGCTTATAGATTAGGATTTTCAGGAAAAGCTGTAATATTTACACAAAAAAAAAAAATATAAATCTCATTAAAAAATTGCCAGAATTTATGTTAATGGATGTAGGTGTATTATCATTGAATGTTGAATGATTAAGAAAAAATTGTTAGATGCATCACGTGATAAATTTAGTTTTCTGATTGGTCAAATTAGTTTGATAGGCGTGCCGAATTTTTTAAATTAGTAATAAAATTACTTAATTTTAAACCCCTATAACTCTTTATTTTACTAATTAACTTTAAAAAATCTCTCTATTACATTGTTATTTATGTTCCAAAGATTGCAAAAATAGAGAGTTTTTTATGGGCCAACAAATATTTCCAAAGTTATCAGGGTTTAAAGATTTGCAATTTTTTTTTTGATGTCTTTAGATGCGGCACACCATACATAAAAAACAAGTGTTAGAAGAGAAGGGATCGGTTGATGTGAGTCACATCAACGTTAACGTATCAAGTTCACGTTTCACAGACACATCCCATCTTAAATTTCATTGATCGAATTCAATTTTATTTTAAATAAATAAGTTTTTTTTTTTACACAATCATCAAGGAGGGGAAACAGGCGACCATTATCATTGTTGCTGTTGTCAGATTATTATTTATAACATTTGTTATTATTGTTGTTATGTTATTATTTATAATGATTGCAATGATTGCAACCCATTGTTATTCACAACTTCCAATCTTTTATATTCTTCTAAGGCTGCTCTAGAGACTTTTAGCTGAGAATAGTCAAATCCAAAGATGTGCAACTTATCCAGAAAAGTGGCTCAATGCATCACAATGTATACTTGACCTTCTGCAGACATGTTTTTGTCAACATTTAGCATTATGTGTGGTAAGGTTAAACCTTGAGTTTTGTGAACCGTCAATGAAAATGCATTTTGGAGAGGACATTGTTGTCTTGATGCACTTTTGCTATCAATTTCAAAATGGTAAATTTCCTTTTGCACAATTATTTTCTTATACATGTCAGGGTTGGGAAATCCTTTGACAATGATGTCTCTATAAATTTGTCACTCCTGTATGTAGCAGTTCCATTGATAGACCCGCAATTCAAAATGTAACAGAAGGCAGTAAAAATTTGGTAATAAATGAGAAAATAAGATGATGATGATAATGATAGTGATATTTTTGATATTATAAAATATAAAGATAGCAATCAATATATGTGTTTTGAAACAATTAATAGTAAAGATAACAGTAAAGGTAATAATTAGAGAGTTGAAGTTAAAAGGGTCAGTTGAGATGACAAGATTTTTCTTTTACATATGTAATATATATTTAAACATTGCACCTTCCCAATTTAGCATTAGGATGACAATTAGGATTGTCTTTAAAAGCCACAGTAACATGAGTATTTTAAAACATCAACATAATAATATTATTATTAGTTGAACAATGTGTCACATTAAACAATTGGGAAGTGCATTTCTGAAATTTTTTGGTGATCAACATCAAAATTCTATTGATAAAATTAGCCACAAACCTTAATTTTAACCCTTCTTTGCTCACCAATCTCCACCAAATTTGAGACACAGATTTTTTAGGACTTATTCCTTCTTTTGGAAAAAAATTAGGAGAGGTTATTAATAAAATAGAAAAAAATCTTGGTATTAAAATTTATCAACCAAATTACCGCATTTGGAAATTAATTATCTATTTTTGGTCATTACTCCTGATAATCTCCTGCCCCATTTTTTCCTTTGTTTTTTATCAAAATTTAAAAACTTACAATATTTTACATCTTTTCAACTGCTCACCAAGTTTATAAAGGTAATATTGGTTAGCTTTGAAATAAAAAGTAATGCTGTTTTGATAAACATAACTTGGGGCATGCTGCAACAAAACCAGACAAAGTGAACATTGGTATTATCAAGACTTTCAGGGATCAATATGTTGTCTAACATCACAATTATATTATCATGTAATGTGATCATGATATTTGTCTAGACAAAAATAGTTAATATGAAACTCATTTACATAAGGTCTACT